GAATCAAAGTTTTAAACATGTTGCTCTTTTAATCTGGCCTTGTTAAGTTTGAATTGTCAATGGGTGTGCAGAAGATGGATTTCTCTCTTCTCTTCTGTATATGCAGAGTTCTTGTAATGGAAAGCTTGTTATAATCTGTTGCAGATTTTCTTTACACTGGAATTATGAAGATTGTTTGCTTGTACTGCAGATAGTGTATTGTGGGGGGAACCAATTTGCTGTGGAATAAGCTTGTGGGTGCTTTTGTTGGCGTCCGTCTTCCCATCATTCAAAAAAGTATTCAATGTCTCTTCCAGTTTGGAAATCGGCAGGTTGGCTATCAGAGATGGTGTTTGAGCCGTTGGATTGGTACTGTAAACCAATGGCGAATAGGATTTGGGAAAAAGCAGTTGATAGTGCATTTGGTGCATATACTCCCTGTGTTATTGACTCGTTAGTCATCTCTTTTTCTCATTTGGTTCTCTTGGGTTTGTGCCTTTACCGAATATATCTCATTAGGAACAATGTTAAAGCAAAACGGTTTCGTTTGAGGTCAAATTACTATAACTATATGCTGGGACTTTTGGCTGGTTATTGTGCTCTTGGGCCTCTGCTAAGACTATTGATGGGAATTTCACTCCTTAACTTGAGTGAAGAGGCTGTTTTTGCTCCATTTGAGGTTGGTTCTCTCTTCATGTTCGAAAGTAGTTTTGTGTTTTTTCCTTTTTCTCTTAAAGTCGCGCATAATCTAAATATGTTCTGTTCACTCTGTAAAGAACTGTGAATCACAGTTATTTTTTCTCTGTGAGTTGTAAATTATATTTATCATATTTCCTCGGATTTAATAGTAATTTGACGTCATAAAATGCTGACCATATTGCTATATTTTAGGCTGGTAGCACTAACTTTTTACCACAGTTTCATCTGGTGTTTATTTTATGCCACGGGAGCAATAATATAGCAGTTTAATTTCTGAATATGCAAGTTCCCTTTCCCTTGTGCAGTTGGCTTCTTTGACAATCGAGGCTGGTACTTGGTTGTCTATGATTATTATGATTGGGTTGGAAACTAAAATTTACATCAAAGAGTTTCGATGGTATGTGCGGTTTGGGATGGTCTATGTTTTAGTGGGGGATGCTGTGCTGCTAAATCTCATCATGTCAGTAAAGGAATATTGCCGTAGGTTTGATTTCCTCCATCTTGTATCTTTGTGGCTTATTAGTATCGTGATTTTCCTTCTTATTAAGCAGTAGTTATGCAAGGTAATATAAGTGATAGAAATAATAAATTCTTGTCTGCTCTTGTTTATTTCATTTGTCAAAGTCTCAAGTTCATCTTTCATCCTTTTTTTTGTGGTGAATGTCATGTTTATGAAGAATTAGGCAAACCATTCAACTTGATATTAAGTATGTTAATCATTAGTAGGATATCGTTAATCAAGTTAGGTTTCGTCTAAACGAGTTATGATATATCTGGACAAAAGAAACATTTCATGATGATTAAATTCCCTTAGTTGGGATAGTCACAACAAGTTAAAATTCCAATAGAACCTTATTTGTTTTCCAAAAAGGGAAGTATGTTAATTATTTGTTCAAATATTTGTTTGCCGTGTATTGGGCTTTGGACAAATGGACATCTTTTTTTTCCTTTTTTTTTTCACGTTTAAGGTAGCTTGTAAGTATAGAATAAGGTGTTTTGTCTTTGGAAAGTGTCTGGTATTTTTTCCTTCCACCTATCGACATGTTTTCTCTATTTACTTAAGTGATTTGGAGAATAAGTAGCATGCAACAATATGGTGTTTGCTCCTTTTGCTGGATGTTGGTGTTATGGCTGGAGAGTAATCTTAGGATCTCCAATCAACGTGTCAGGTTTGCAGACTTTATTTGGGTTATGATGATGTGTGTGGCCTCTATATGGGCCAAGGTGTGTGGTGCTTTTGAGATGGTTGCCTTTATTTGTTATGCAAAGTAATTGGGAGACTATTACATACCAGTGTCTGCTCCATTTTACTTGTTTTAAACTTTGTTTTTCTTTTTTTCTTTAATAGGAGAGTGTCTTATCTTTCCTTACTCTACTTATCATAGAGACATTATTTCTTGATATCGTAGCCTCTAGAAGAATGTTACCTGCTGTACATGTGATTGCATGAACTTTATGTAAATGTTATTTGATGAGGAGAATTAGAGAACTTTGGGCACGGGCACCATTATTTTTCACTTGTTTATTTGGATATGCAGATCTGCAGTGGATATTTTCATCAGTGAGGTTTCCTGCCAGGTTCGTTGGTCTATATGCTCTTCTTCCATCTTTAGGATGAAACAGATAACCTTCCACTAGTAGAGTGGTTTTTAGACCTAAGGTTGGTAATTAGCTGACTAAATTTTACACCTGACAGATTTTTGGAAATCTAAATACTTGTATCCTGTGAAAACAATTGATTGAAAACAGTTTTTTGAAAAGCTCGAGCTCGATCATTTATATTTGGAATATGCCTACTCACATGGAATCTGTTAGTTAGAAAGCATGGATCATTCACAGTTCCACTATACTTTCTGCTGAAATCTAATTTTTTTTCTTAGAAATCAGATAGATAGGACTGGGCTGAAGGAAATAGGACATTTTTTACATTCTAAAAATATAGCTCGATCTAGATATATTATCTATGTTCCATGGCTTGAGGACAAACTGCCACTTGAGCCTGCTTATATGATCATATTATTTGCCAATGAGTACCCTGGGCGGTGTATTATTTTGCTTTATATGTTGTAAAACACATGAATACTTTTGACAAGCTTTCTGATGAGCATGAAGACATGCATACTTTATTATTGACATATGACAACATCGAACACAATTTTTGACAACCTTGCATTAACCTGCGATGCGTTTCTCTTATGAGGACAGATTATACGAATGTAGTCTGTAGTGGAGATTATAATCTGGTCTATTAACTTCAAATGATTCCATGACATTTCTTTTATAACTATTCTTATGATGTAGGTTATATTGGGGATTCTTCTTCTTTTTTATGTTCCTAATTTGGATCCTTACCCGGGGTATGTTGCGATCGATGATGAGCCTCTGGATAGTCTTCAATATGAAGCACTTCCTGGAGGAGAGCAAATATGCCCAGAGAGGCACGCTGGTATTTTTTCCAGTAAGTAGTTTCCAAGTTGTATCATTATTGGAAACAGTTTCAGAATTACCAGAGGTTGCACTTGTTCATTTAATTTCACTTTCTGTACTTTTGGTAAATTCAATCTTTGTAGCATGACCGATAGATGGCACATTTTAAATTTCTAGGGGCTTGTATGTTTTCTGCTAAAAGTTTTGGAGTAACATTATTATGCCAGATGAAACTGAGAACCATTCTGATGACTAAATACTGGTGTTCTGAGCTTGTGAGGTGCTATATTTATAGTTGGGTACTTTCTCCTCTTGTAGGAATATGTTTTGGATGGATGACACAGCTCATGCAGTTAGGCTATAAAAAGCCTATCACTGAGAAGGATGTTTGGAAGTTAGACACATGGGATCAGACTGAAACTCTTATTGAAAAGTTTGAATCCTGCTTCTTCCTTTGTATTTTTCTGTGTGCTTTTGTATTGCTATTTGAAAAATTTTAGGAATTGGAATAATTTGCAAAAAAGTTCTTGGTTTGCCTACTCCCATAGGAATATATATATATATATATTCATAATAGTGTACAAGAAATTGTGTAAATAGACCTCTTGTAGTCAACTCTTAACACTTAAGATTACATAAATAATTCCTAAGATTGAGTTACCATACGGAGATAGGTAATATCTCATAGGATTTTGCACTACACAGTATAGAAGAATAATTGTATTTTGTTGAGTATTTGGACCGTATATATATAAGTCCCTGGTAAGTATACAAGGAAACTTAATTACAAAGATTGTGAAGATTATACCGAAACGATATAATACTAGTATAATCTATATCCTACTCACTTACTCATGTACACTTCTCAAAACTTCTCGTCAAGTTAGTGAATAGATATTATCTATTTTCAGCTTGTCAATAATAGTTTAAAAGTCAGGATTACTTAACCCTTTGGTCAATATATCTACAAGTTGCAATGTAGTAGGCATGTATTGCATGCATATCAATTCACTATCTAGCTTTTCTTTTATAAAGTGTTAATCAATTTCAATATATTTCGTCTTGTCATGTTATACAGAATTGTGAGCGATACTAATTACTAACTTATTATCACAATAGAGTCTTTATAGATCCATCCCACTAAATTTTTAAGTTTTCAATATTATCTTCGACCATAGGATTTCACACACCCCTTAAAACAAAGCTCTAAACTTTGACTTTGCATTGGATTGGAATACAACATTTTGTTTCTTACTCCTCTAAGTCACTAGATTTCTACCAAGAAATATGTAGTACCAAATGTAGAGCTTCTGTCAACTAATAGTCCTACATAGTTAGTATCAATATACGTCTCAAGGAGCAATCTATTGTTTTCTTGGACATAATTCCCTTTCCTAGAGTACCCTTCAAGTTGTGGAATATCTTATAGGTAGCTTGTAAATGTACTTCTTTGAGCTTGTACATGAATTGACTTACTACACTTACTGAATATGCAATGTCTAGCCTTCTATATGGCAAGTATATTAACTTTCCCATTAGCTTCTGATACATCTCATTCTCCACCTTAGGTTCTTCCTCTACGAGTCCCAATTTGTGATTGGGATCAATTGGGCTATTAACAAGTTTGCATGTCACCTTGCCAATTTCTTTCAGAAAAGCTGGAATGTAGTTGAGATAAAAATATCGGACCTTGGAGTAGACTACCTTTATTCTGAGGAGATACTTTAATCTTCCCAATTCTTTAATTTCAAATTTTTTGGCCAGACATTACTAGAAAGTTGTCTTCTTTCCTTCATCATTCCTTGTAAAAATCATACCATGTACATACATCAGTAGGGCTGTGACTCCCCCTGCCTCCAAGTGCTTAATGAACATGGTATGATCTTTTTGACTTTGTCTTTAGCCATTTAATAACATGACACTGACAGATCTCTTAAACCATGCCCTAGGAGATTGTTTAAGGCTATATAGTGTTGTTTTGAGTTTATATACCTTATTCTTCTCTCCTTCTTCAGTGAATCCAAGAGGAATCTCTATATAGATTTTCTCTTTCAACTTCTCATATAGAAAGATATTCATCATATCAAACTGTTGTAACTGTCAATTAAAGTTAGTAATTAGGAGTAGTAGGATAAATTTCTATCTATCCAATGGTGACAAGTGGATAATCTGGGGATGTGGAGAACATTTTCTAATTTAGGGATGGACTGAGATGGAAATCTTGTGGACCAGCTATGGTACTAAGCGAAGCATCTAGGACTATTATTTTTCGATTGATTGGATAGGGGGTATAAGTGCTAAAATTTAATAAAAAATGAGTCATATGACTTATGGCTCCTGAGTCAATAATTATATGTTTCTCCGCAACATATTTTGTGCTCTTATTTAATGCATTGATGTTGGTCAAGTTTTTGCCACAGCCTGTGCACTAGATTTGCGCATTCGGTAACAGTTTTCCTGTCTTGTTTCATTGTACTAATTTTCATCTTGTGTTGCATCACGAGCCTCTGAATACACTTGTCGAATAGCATCCCAAGTCTATTTAGCATGGATAAAAATACACGTGTCACTGATCTTCAGATCCATTGAGTTCCGTAACCATGATGATCACTGAATATGCTTCACCCCTCTCATAAAATCTTAGACCTTTCAGTTCAATCACTAGATGGTTGAGTTTCCTATTTCCCTTCAAATAGGTCCAAATAAATTGGGATCACTTGAGGTAATTCTTCCTATTCAGTCTATATGTTGTCTGAATTTTGGAGCTCTCATGCTAGTTGGTTGAGGAGAATTACTTGATTTGGTCGGTGGTGTTGAACGACAATGTCATTTTAGCCATTTTTGACTTCTTCTCCAGAATGGTGGTCAGATCTCCTCCTGTAAGGATCCAATAATAGAGCGGCTAACAAGAATGCTGCTGATTAAAGCTCCCGACAGATAATTCGAGTCCATTGGGGGAGCCAACAATGAAGCTTGATGCCAACTATGTGGTGATGAAGGACAAAGAAAAAAACCGAAGAAAGCAGAGGAGGTGATATATCATGATTGGTTTTTTGACAACTATGTCTCATGAACGGCCTCCCAAATTTCCTATGTGGTTTTGTAGTACATGAAATTCTCTACTGTCTCATTTGTCATGGAATTAAGATGCCATGACATATTCATGTTGTTCCAGCTTCCATGTCCGATACGAGGGATCATCTTCTCTGGGCTTCATAGCAACACCTTGTGAGATAATCCTCTTTTCCTCTCCCACAAATAAAAATAATAACTGATCGTGACCAATGAATGAAATTCTGGCCATTAAGTTTATGACTGGTGACGGGCAGAAGATTGCTTTCTGCAATAGTCGCAGTGTTGAGGGAACCAGAACCATGACCATTGGGTGCTAGGGGATGAAGAGTTGCGTGTTTAGACATGATTTAGGCAACCAGAGGTTCAAAGATTACTATCCCAAAAGAGGTGCTCTTATACCATGAAGAAAAACATAATAATGGAATAGGAAAGGAGGAAAAAGAGGTGCCATCCTTTTCCATTCTTCCAATTTTTCTCTTATCCGAGGGAAAATTCCTCCCTCTTCCATTCTTCCAATTTTTCTCTCATTGGGGGGATAAATTTCTCCATTTTTAACTCTTCCAACTTTTCTCTTATTCGGGGTATAAATTCTCCCTCTTTAACTCTGCCAATTGTTTTCTCTCATCGGGGGAAAAATTTCTCCCTCCTTAACTCTTCCAACTTTTCTCTCATCTGGGGGACAAATTTCTTCCTCTTCAATTTGTTTATATGCATATTAAACACGTATTCATTCTTCATCTAAAAGTACTTCAATTAATGCAAATTGTTAAAGACTAAAGATTCCTCAAGTGTATATTAACCCAAGAATAATGCAATTATGCCAAGGTACCTCAATAATGCAAATGATGCCAAAACACCTCGATAATGCAAATCATGTCAAAAATACCTTAATAATGCAAGTTCATTTTTTCAGATTGTTACACTGGTTCTTTCTTAAACAGTTTTTGGAATCTGGTTAAATCTGCTGTACATCAGCGTTAAAGTCCACATGGTAATCTAACCCTTTTTATAATCCACTGAGTTCTGAAATATACTGTACTATTGTCATCTCCTTCTGCGTTGTTTCGTGAAACTGTTTCTCAACTCGTACTTGAGCCTCATTTCCCAGTTGAGAATAAGTCTGAGATGCAACACTCTAAATCTGTTGATCTTTATCAAGGGAAGATAATCGCAAGACGTTGCATTAATTTAATTAGTCCAGACATAAAACAGAATTTTCAGATTCCAATTGGTTAAGAGATGGGCCAAAAGTTGCTTGCTTCTTTGATTTCTGGTGAATGTGCTATAACCTTGCGCTCCATGGGCATGAGTAAAAAACAGAGACGATTGTGATTGTGCTAGGTAGTTTGTGACATCCAATTTTATTGGACTAATCTAGAGAGGACTGTTGCTGAACGAACCAACCATTCTGCCACTACCTCGTTCATTCGTGGCAGTTGAGATTCATAAATAATTCCTAGGATTTAGAAAGTATATAGCTAACAGTCATATCTACTAGAATTTGTTCAATATACAGCTGTTAATACCACTGTTCACAAATTTCTAATATTTAACCCCTACAGGTTCCAAAGATGCTGGATTGAAGAATCAAAAAGGTCCAAGCCATGGCTTCTAAGAGCGTTGAATAGTAGCCTTGGTGAAACGTACTAGCTAAATGACCTTTATATGGTTTTTATCTTTCAACAATTTTTATTAACCTGCCTTGTTGCTTAAATATTCGAAGAAAAGTAAATGTGTATTTTACTTGATGTTTAACTGTCTCATTTTATTTGTCTTCCAGGTTTTGGTTGGGAGGCTTTTTCAAGGTAATGAGTCTTCCATTTTTTTTGCTCTCTGGATGCTAATTTCAAGTTTCATAAGCTTTAGTTATTAGGAAGACAAGTTTCAGTATTGATATTTTTTCTACTTTGACATTCATGTATCTCCCCTTTCAAAATTTCTCCAAAAGCACCTTTCAGATTCTGCCACATGCTAGAGGTACTTTTTCCCTAGCCACCCTCTTGCCTCCTTGTGATTAGAAATACTTGTGGAAGGTGGTGTCAACTCATTTGGAGCCTATATCTGTTCTATGGTCCTGATGGTGTTTTCCATAAGTTGGGCCTTTTCTCCCGCCACCTAAGCTTGGGCATCATTGCATTTTTCCATTTTTCTTTCTCCAGAACATAAGCCTTCAGCTTAAAAGAATTGGGCTTGCCCAGAAAAGGTGGCCTATAGATCCGATAAAAATATGGGCTTGTGATGGGGGATTTTCAAATTCTTAATTCCACTTGACCTGCCTGTGTTTGGGATACTTTCTCATCGACCCAAGCATCTGCACCATCTGGAACCTCTGCAAATTACCTCTCAAAGTACCATGTGAGACAGCCTCCAGAGTTATTGAGCATGGTCTTGCATCCTGCGCATAACAGTTTGCAACTAATAGAATGGTCTACTGGAGCGGTCCTTGGCTTCCTTGCATAAGGAAGCAAAGACACATTGTCTTAGCTTTCCAAGGAGGTCTAAAGTTTCTCCCCACAACTCCACACACTGTCGACATCATTTGCCACCACCACTTGCATGAGGCTCCTTGGGAATATAGATCCTCGGTCGCCTATCAACCATCCTGTCCACGATGGCTAAGAATTTGCACCCACATTGATGCCTAAAGCTAGCCGTAACATCTAGTTTCTTCCCACCATACTCCTAAACCAGGAACATGTCCCTTGTAACAACAGAATGCCCAAAAGTTCTGATAGCCAATCTATCTTCCCTCCCATAAAGACAATAGTGGAACGGAATCCTTTGCCATTTTAGCTAATGTTAACACTGTTGACCTTTCCCCCAAGAGCATTATGTCAAAGTATTTTCTTTTGATAATCAAGAATTTCCTAGAAAAAGAACCCGACATGAAGAATAACCTTTGTTTTGGCCAACTAGACTTGGTCTGGAACCTGGGAAGAGGCCACATAAGACAAGAGAAAGAACAATAGTGTTGGACATCAGTCTGCCAGCAAGTAACTCTCAATGTCCATAATGCTTTTTTATTTCATTTCTTAGTTGGTTTCTATTATCAGAGCCACAACAACTTGCTGAACCAGTGCAGTATGTCACATAATGTAGTAACCAGACCTAAAGCAGCAATTATGAGGAATACTACACCTTCATATTTGCTTGACCTAGAATCAGCATAACAATCATAAACTCACCATGATGCCCAATTTAGCAGCAAAAAGTGTCCGAGAGCAAATCTTATCACAATATAATGAAGAAATGTGGAAAATTCAGAACAAAAGATATAAGATCGGAGAATTTTCCAGAAACTTCAAACAAGTTTGGATTTCAAACCTAGGTGTGAATTAAATCATAAATTAAAACAATCTCTCTTTCTAACACAATCAAATTACAATATTTTCTTAAATTGAGGTGAGTCTTCCCCTTTTAATGTTCCCTATATACTGCCAAAATGAAATCTATTTCCTGCTTAAAATTTGTTCTATCATCCATGTGGATATTTGGCTCTTTGTAGAACATCAGAAACCCTCTCTATTATGTCAAAATTAAAATTCAATTCCATGTTTCTGAAATGAGTTTATTTCTTTGGCCATCTTGTAGATTGGAAATGATCTTTCTCAATTTGTGGGGCCTGTTTTACTGAATCATCTCTTACAGGTTAGATATTTTCCTTTTGAAGCTTTTTGGAATGACCTTTTGCATTCATTCTTATTTGCTATAGTAGGTTTCATGCCTTTGCTTGCATTTAATAAAGTCTTCGTATTAAAAATCTATCTATGTCCAATTCTGATTCAGGAACCACCCTTTTATGGTTATTTAATTTTATTCTGGTCATTGTATGGGTTTTATTACTGTCAAGGTTATGGAACTTCAGTTAACAATGAATTAGCATTGATTCATTTCTGATTGATTCTTTTTTCTGTAGATTTTAGTTATTGTCATTATATATTATGCAAATTAAAGCAAGAATATAGAAGAATTCCAAGCTTAGGATCTTAACCATACCACTTTTTGGCTTTTATTTCTTAGTCCTAGGATTCTCATGTGACTTGTATTTTATGCACAAAACTTTAGGGTTGGGTACATAATTACAAATTTCATCCGCTTCTTTTATTCATTTTAGCTGCACTATATGTATCTCTTTGATGCATAGTGGTCTTTTTAGAATTATTATGGCAGCCTCATTTACAGTCGAAGGGTTCTAACCATTGGGAACTCTATATAGTGGCTGAAGTCTACCCCATGAATAGGTTTTGAGTTCAAACGTTGAAGAGAAATTCTACCACTTCAACTGATAGAGATTAAACAGAACTGATTCTTTGAGGGATAAATTCTATAGGATCTATCCTTGTTCTGGCCAGGTTAGTCGACCAATCACAAGCCTCTCTAAATCCAGTCTAAAGTTACCGTATAAAAAACTTAACTAATTTCCCATTATTTCAAGTTTTTTAAATAATCACCTAGTCAATTATTCAGTACACCGTCAAAGTAGAGGTCATAGTGTCAAAAAAGAGATCAACCTCATTTATTACTACTTACTCATTTTCTTATTAGCAATTCAGCTTTTTTGTAAAACCCTTTAGTTTCTATTTGTCTTACTCTTGTTAGGTTTTCTTATCATAGTTGCACATGAGATGGTATGTTAAAAGTATAAATGATAAGGTTGAGATCTTTTTAATTAGCTGGGAAAAGGTGATCATCAATTAATTATCTAACAGCTGCACATGATACTAATTTCTTTGTTAAATAGTTTTGGTACTTGCACCTATCATTCTTCTTATATCTTGATCATTGAGGCATAGCATGAGGCTTCTATTTTATATATTACATTGTTCTCGATCACCATAACTAATAATTTTTATACTACACTCGCAGTCTATGCAACGAGGTGATCCAGCTTGGATTGGTTACATATATGCCTTCTTAATTTTTATTGGGGTGGTAAGATCTCTATCTTCTGCTAATCTTCAATACCTTTCATTCATCTTAATAGAAATGTAACGGTATCCTTCAGAAACAAATATTTAAGTTTATCCTCATTTTCCCTGAAGTTTTAGTTCATAAATTCTTTTTTGACTAATGGTAGCATTTATATCATTTCATACTGGTAACTGATAGCATAGCTGCTAACTATTCTTTTACTGAGAAGTTGTGTGATTTGGTTCAGACAGCTGGTGTGCTATGTGAAGCTCAGTATTTTCAGAATGTTTGGCGTGTTGGTTTCCGTTTGAGGTCAACTTTGGTAAAATATCGTTTCTTTAAGTTTAAAATAACATACCTTTTGATAATATGTCTCAGCCAACATCATAATTCATATTTTTATAAGAACCCAGTTTCTATTTATAGGTAGCTGCTATATTTCGCAAATCTTTAAGACTACCCCATGAGAGCCGCAAGAATTTTCCATCTGGGAAGATACCAATATGATCACGACAGATGCTAGTGCACTTCAGGTATGGCTTATTTCAATTGCAGGAACATGCATGGTTAGTGTATGGAAATCCCCAAAGTAATTTATGCATAATCAGTAAGATAGTCAATTATAATGGTGTAGGTAGTCTCACGACATCCATGGTGGATGTCTAGATGTTAGTAATCCTAAATGCACTAACATATTTTACCTGGAAAACACTATTTAATCACCAAGATATTATGGAAGCAAAGGTTCTGGCATTGAAGAGAGAGGGAGTAAGGCTTGTGTTTAAGGATGATATTTCCAGCTCAAAATGTTATAGTCCTCACCCCGATTGACATTGACTTTCTTTTACACTTAAATAGATGAGGAAGTGTTAAATAATGTACTCTATATGTAATTAATTAGAGTTGAATTAGGTTAAAGAGGATTATGGTCAAATACTTCCTATGTAATTAATTGTCGGTTTCCTTTATTATATTACAGAACTTGTGTATAGGGTCATATTATTCAATAAAATACACAACACATCATTCTTGACATAGTATCAGTAAATATTCAAACTCTTTTATAACTCTAATTGGTTTTTATTATTGAAATAAGAAAAAGGAAAACCGTAAACAATACCAACCTTCATAGCCGACCACCACCATCATCACATCCGGCCCTTCATAGCTGGACACTAGAAAAACTCAACAAACCATTAGCTGCTGCCACTTGCAGCTTCACGCACCACCAAGCAAGACTCAGTGGCATGCACCAGTTGAAAATTAATGTAGAAATTATAATTTATTTTATTTATTAGTTTGAATTTAAATAAAATTTATTTTTTAATTAGATTTAGTGCATATTTATTTTTTAAATATCATGTAATTAGTACAAGTTTATCTGTTAAGAGATTTGGTTCATATTTATCTTTTAAATAGTGGTACCGTAGTTTTAGGAAATTTGATTTCGATGTAAGTTTATTTAAAGACACTTTAAGTTGTTAATTTTTAAATAAGTGAGGTCAATAAAAATTTAAGTTTTCTTCATCTAAAAAAACTTCAACAGCACCAGCCAACAGCACGCCTCACTCAACTGTGTCTGCCACCAAGCCACATGCCTCCAGCCATGTGCCTGCCATCCAGCTGAGTGCCTCCAGCTATCACCAGCCGACTAGCGGCGCGTCCCTCCAGCCACATCTTTGCCCAGCAGACGTAACCAACTCTATCCAAGGGTGAAATCTTCTATTCAGCCACTTGTTCAGCCTGGTAATCTCTGTTTTCATCTTATCAAATCAGCATTGATTGTCCTGAAAAACTCTAAATCAAATTGGAGGTTATGTCTCAAGTTATTGACACAAATCCCAACATAGTAAATTCACAACAATCCAGCAAAAAATTTCAACCAATTCAGGCTATCTATCATCTGAATAGAAAAAATTATCTGAATTGGTCACAATTGATTCGAACGATCCATAAAGGAAAAGGAAAAATCAATGATATTCTAGGCATTGGACCTAAACCAGAAGATCCATAATTTGATATTTAGGACGAGGAAGATTCAACAATAATGGTTTGACTCTAGGACTCAATATCACGAGAGATAAGCAACATTTGCATGTTCCTACCCATAGTAAACTTGTTTGATGGCAACAAGATTACTACTAAGTCGCTGCTAATAAATCGTGGAGCTTCTCGTTCACCATGGTTGATTGAACTAAGAAAGGTCCTCTGTTCACTCAGACAAGGAAAAAACAACTGGCAAGAGGTGATGCACAGTCAAGATCCCCAAAAAAAAAGGAAAAAATGGGAATTAAGACAAGTTTTGTGAGAGTTAAGCCAGTTCCAAGCAAGCCAGAATAATGGGGCCTGAACCAGATCCTCAGGCAAGCCTAAAAAGTGGGACCTGAACCTAATTCAGTGACCTTATGGAGAAATGTTTTGTAGTCGATTGCACCTGAGAAGTTGTCTGTTTTAGTCTAATTTAGAAAGCAGTTGTACCCAAGAAACAGATTGTGTACTTTGAAGAGTAAAGAGTTTCCTTATAAAACACAGCAATCTAAGCACAGCGCTGATTCCAAGTTGGAAGTCGGGGCTGAACTAGAGATGGGAGAAAAATCATTTTCTTGTTATTATTCTCATCAATTACACCCTTCATATACATTTATATGCACAATATTTTTAATGGTATCTATATGCTAAAAAAATAACCTATCTGAAAGTTAGGTATTTACATTTAAATGAAGAATATTTACTGAATAATACAGAAAATAAATGTTGGCAGTCAACTACAAGCTAAGTTGGTTTTCTATGGTATGCAGTTGATTAGTGAATATCCATATACATTGCAATTAGGTTTAAGTTTTACATTCTTTATTCTTACACATTTTTGCAAACTGAAAATGGAACTAAAAAAAAAATCTATATTGACAGTTAAATAATTTTTTGACTTGTACATTTTTTTCTTGATTTGGGAGAAAAGAACTGACCACTGTGAATATAATATTTTGATTTTGGTCAGCAAATATGCCAACAACTTCATGGCCTATGGTCAGCTCCATTTCGTATTATCATGTCTATGGTTCTTCTTTATCAGCAACTAGGAGTTGCTTCGCTTCTTGGGTCACTAATGCTAGTTCTTATGGTTCCCCTACAGGTAATAAAATTTCTGATTTCTTATTCTTTCTGTTGTTTCATTAAAAAATTTATTCATTCATGTAAGAATAGTATGCAAGGTCCTCTTTTTCTTTTCTTCCAGGAGTAAGAAATTGATCTTGATATTTTAATAGATTTCAATCAGGAGAAAATGGAAAAGAAGCTCCAACACGTGTTAAATCAGCAAGTAATTGTCATTTTATCATTCACAAGGAAGGTTATTAACCCCATTTTAGAATGCAAGAATACAGTACCTAAGACACATTCTTCTGCTTTTATCAAATTAAATGAGAAAACAAATATATTCATGTTTTGATGTTCCTTTACGTGAATTAGAAATTTTCTGATCCTAAGTAACCTCAATTGGGTACCAATGTAGTTTAGATAACTAAATATCTCGAGTGTTTTATTCTTTGCAATTTTCATGACAAAATCAAACAGATACCTATTTTACTAATATTTATAAGTTCTTTATTTCTTTTTCCTGCGAGTAGACATTTGTGATAAGCAAAATGCGGAAACTAAGTAAGGAAGGACTCCAGCAGACCGACAAGAGAGTTAGCCTCATGAATGAGATTTTGGCTGCCATGGATACCGTAAAGTATGGTTGAATTTAAGGTCCATTTCCTAAGGTTCCTGTCCAATGTTGTGGCAATGAAATTGATACTTCTATATTTGCGGACATTTTTCAGATGTTACGCGTGGGAGAGGAGTTTCCAGTCTAGAGTTCAAAATATACGAAATGAAGAGCTATCATGGTTCCGTAAAGCACAATTACTATCCGCTGTACGAAACAAACCGAAGTTTGGGTGTATCTTATTGCTCATCTCATTTCAATTTTGTGGTCTACCCGTCATAACTCCTTCATGGCATGTGTGGCTTACTGCTGAAAAAGATAATATGTATGCTTTATCTGATTATAGACAGCTTTATCCCAAAAGTCATCTGCTTTTTTTGCAATGTCAATTCTAAAATGGCTCAATTCCTATCACATGAAAACATTATTCACCCAAATCTTACATAGGATGATATCTTTGTAGTAAATTCATGATCTATAACCATAAACAGGTGTCATGTAGTAACATCCAACATAAGAATGTCTATCAATCAATGAGTTTTGATTCAGTGGTTATCCATGTTTTTGTTTACATTAAAGTTCAAGTTTTGACCCTTGTCTATTACAAAATTAATATATGGTATGTTTTATTAAAAAAAAAAACATAAGAATGTCTATCATTTTTGCGATATTTCGTTCTTGCACAGTTTAGATGTCGCACATATATTGAGATCTGGCTCTCATTTTTGAAACCAAGTCTAACGATTTATTTTCTGTTTAATTTTGCTATTGCAGTTTAACAGTTTTATACTGAACAGCATCCCAGTTGTTGTGACAGTAGTCTCATTTGGGATGTTCACTTTGCTTGGTGGGGTTCTGACACCTGCGAGGGCATTTACATCTCTTTCTCTATTTGCAGTGCTTCGATTTCCTTTGAATATGTTCCCTAATTTATTAAGTCAGGTACTTTCATTCTTACATAGTTAAAATTTCGTAGTTTCTTCTGCATTTTGTGCATACTGATCTCAATATGTTTTATAATTAAGTTTTTAATTCAATAACTAGTATATTTAGTTAAATTTTGTATGTAATAAGGTGATCAGTCACACGGCTTTCCCACTTGAATTATTTTAACACCAAGCCATGCTATTAATGGTAGCATAATGTAACAAGTACTACTAATAACTGGTTGCCCTTTGAGGGATGGAAAACTTTTGCCATGGGGGCACAAAAATGAAGAAGAACAAAGAGGGTGATTTAAGGTTTTGATTTTTAGAGGGTCAAATTTGTAGTTTGTTAATTTATTTAAGAGCAATATTAGAAAAGCAGATTTTAGATTTACTTCTGGCAAAAAGTACTGAAGTTTTTGGAGAAAATAAATTTATAATTTTATTACTTATTTTTTGTGTTTACATTTAAAAAATATAAAATAGTTATTTTTATTTTAGTTGCACTCTAATTATAGGATATAATTATACTATTAGAACTTAATTAATATAATATTCTACTTAGCATGAAATTCTTATCAACACTCTCCCTCAAGTTGGCACAAACATATCACACATATCCAACTTATAAATTAGGTTATGAAGAGATTTATTGCATAGTTCTTTATGAAAAATGTCAGCTACTTGGTCGTCAAAAGATACATGATATAACCATAGAGAGCAACTAACCACCTTCTCTTTTATGAAGTGTCAATAAATCTCAATGTGTTTTGTTCTGTCATGTTGAACTGGATTATGAGTAATGTTAATTATTGTTTTATTGTCACAAAACAGGGAAAGTTTCTTATCTTTAAGCAGTTTTAACTCCCTCATTAACTTATGCAACCATAGTAATTCACATATTTCTTGAGTCATTACTCTATATTCTGCCTTAGCACTGGAGCAAACAACTACACTTTGTTTCTTACTTTTCTATATAATTAAGTTGCCTGCTACAAGTGTGCAGTAACTTATAGTTGATCTTCTATCATTTAGGGATGTAAGCTAATCGGCATCTGCAAATACTTCTATTTTAATGTGACCATGCTCAGAAAAGAGCATACTTTTTCCTGGTGCAGATTTTAGGTATCGTAATATACGAAAGACAGTATGTAAATGAGTCTCATGAAGATCTTGCATATACTAACTCACAAGACTAACTGCATATGATATATCACGTCTGGTATGTGAGAGATAAAATGAGTCTTTCAAGTAGTTTCTGGTATCTTTCCAAGTCAACTGATGTACCATTACCTGTTTGCAATTTGTGGTTGCTCTCAATAAGTGATTCTGCCGGCTTGCAACCTATCATACCAGTCTCTTTTAGTAAATTTAGGATATATTTTCTTTGAGAAATGAAGATCTTTTTATTGGATCTGACAATTTCAATTTTCAAGAAATATTTCAACTTTTCTAAATCTTTTATTTCAAACTCTTAAGTAAGAAATTCTTTCAACCGAGTCATCTATTTTGTGTCATCTTCAGTCACCACAATATCATCCACATAAACAATGAGAAGAGTAACTTTACCCTCACGATGTTTGATAAATAAGGTACGATCAGCATTACTTTGTTGATATCCAAAAGAGATCATAACTCTTCTAAACCGTTCAAACCGTGCTCTTGGAGACTGCTTCAATCTATATAAAGTCTTTTTTAATTTGCAAACTTTTTCTTGTGTCCTCTCATCTTCAAATCCATATGGAATTTTCATGTACACCTCTTTCTCTAAGTCTCCATGAAAGAATGCATTTTTTACATCAAACTACTGTAGATTCAATCAAGGTTAGCTGCACAAGACAAAGTATCCTAATTGTGTTCATCTTCGCAACATATGCAAATGTCTCCTGATAGTCAATCCCATAGGTTTGAGTAAATCCTTTAACCGCCAATCTAGTGTTGTACCTTTTGATCGATCTGTTTACTTTGTATTTTATACAATCTAGTTTTGTACATCTCTTCCTTTAAGTCTCCATGGAAGAATGTATTTTTTACATCAAACTGCTGTAAATCCCAATCAAGGTTAGTTGCATAAAACAAAAGTATTCTAATTGTGTTCATCTTCGCAACAATTACAAATGTCTCCTGATAGTCAATCCCATAGGTCTGAGTAAATTCTTTAATCACCAATCTAACTTTGTACATTTCGATCGATCCATCTGCTTTGTGTTTTATGGTGAACACTTATTTGCAACCAATTATCTTTTTTCTCTGTAGAGCTGAAATAAGTTATCATGTTTCATTCTTTGTCAATGTTTTCATTTCTTCAATCATGGCTTTCTTCCATTTGAAATCTCTTAGAACTTCTCTCTAATCCTGTGGAATAGACACAAAGGAAATATATAAGACAAAAACTCTACAGGATGGAGATAAAGAGTCATAGGAAACAAAGTTAGATATAGCGTACTTAGTGCAAGTTCTCGTTCCCTTTCTAATAGTAATAGGTTTATTTGATAAATTACAAGAGAAATATAACTTACCAGTATCTTCTAAAACCAGAGAAGATTCTTGACCTGCGACAGACCGCATGATGGCTTTTTCAAACTTCTCTCTTCTTGAATATCTTTTCAAGTCTGCTTTATCTTGGTATCCAATATTATCTTCTTGATTAAGACTTTGTGCAATAGAATTCTTTCTCTGGATATAACTCTCAATTGTTAACCAATTAGGTATCACTTCTTCTTTCTCACTCTCCCCTTGAAAAGGTGTTGGGTTTGAGTTAACGTAAAACTCATTCTCCCTAAAAGTGACATCCATAGTTATAAAGTATTTTTTAGATGGTAGATGATAACACTTGTAGTCTTTTTTAGTAGAAGAATATCCAACAAATATATACTTAAGAGCTTAAGTTCTAACTTACCCATATTTCTAGTATGAATAAAGCACATACATCCAAATGCTTTTAGGGAAATAATGTAGGAAATTTTTCCTTACAAAATCTTCATAAGACTTTTAAAATTTAGGACCGCAAAGGCATTCTATTGATAAGATAAACAGTTGAGAGAACTGCATCTCCCCAGTAACTCTTTGGTAGATTCATGGTGAACATTAGTGATCGATCTATTTCTAGTATGTGTCTATTTTTTCTTTCAGTAATCCTATTTTGTTCACTGGTGTAAGAACAACTTGTCTGATAAATTATTTCATTTGACTCCAAGTAGATGCGGAACCCACTACGCATATATTTTATACCATTATCAGTTCGTAAAATTTTAACTTTAGCACCAAACTATGTACATATCATTTTGTGCAAAGATTGAAAATATGAAAATGCATCACCTTTTGTTTTTAACAGATAAATTCATGTTAATCTAGTACAATAGTCAATAAAAGTAACAAATCATTTATGAGCAAAAAGAGAGGTATTCTGAGTAGATCCCCACACATCAGAGTTAATAGTCATAACAAGATCAGTACTTCTTTTATTACTTAAATGATAAAAGCTTATTTTATATTTAACAAGTTCGCATGCATTACAAAATAAAGACTACATAGACGTTCTTTTAAATAATTTAGCATATAATTTTTCTAAAATAAAAAATGAATGATATCTCAATTGTCGGTGTCATTGTAGTATCTCCATATTGACTTCTTTATTCTCAATGGTTGTTTGATTTTCAATCAAGTTCATATGTTTATTTAAGACATATAAATCATCTTGCAGTTTATTAGTGTCAATCATCTTCTCGGTTTGAAGATCTTAAGAGATACAATGATTAGGAAAAAATTCAATTTTACAGTTGAGATTTCTAATTATGGCACTAATAGATAAAAAATTGTCAGAAAAACTAAGCATATGTAAAACTGAAGACAGTGTAATAATAGAAGTACAATTAATGGAACTTGTTCCCGACACGAGGGTGTATAACCCATCTGCTATACGGATATTATTCAGAAGAATAGGTTAAGAATTCTTTAAAAAAGTCTATCATGTGTCTGTTAACTTCAGAGTCTATAATCCAATTATCAGAAGTGGAAATAGGTTGAGCAATACCTAATTTTACTATAGTTGATGTACCAACAGTTGATAGAGAGTTAAGTTGACTTAGAAAGCGTTTCAGATTTTGAATTTATTCTGTGGAAAAGGTTTCAACGAATGGTGAAGGTATTTCCCTAACTTCAAGAAAATTTATTTGAGCTCTTGTGGTTCCACCTCTTCTTCTTCCCCAACCTCTAATTGGTCGTCCATGCAACTTCTAACAAATTTCCCTAACGTGTCTTGCCTTGCCACAATAGTCACATTTTCATATGTCTCTGCATTGATCAGACTAAGCAAGTAATCCAGTTTTCTCAACTGGTGCAATGTGAAGCATAGCATTTTCTCTACTATTTTTTTGTTGAATATAAGCATAAGTTTGTTTTAATGAAGGAAATGGATCCTTACCAAACACTTGAATCCGTATTTGATCATATTCGGTGTTCAAACTGCCTAAAAAATTATAGATTTGTTCTTTCTCTATCAATTTTTGAAATTTGACTGCTTCAACAAAATTTGTTTGGGTTCTTGTGGTTCCACCTCTTCTTCCTCTCCAACCTCTAATTAGTCTTTCATGCAACTTCCAATAAGTTTTCCTAGTGCATCTTAGCTTGCCACAAAAGTCACACTTCCATGTCTCTGGATTGATGAGACTGAGCAACTAATCCAGCTTTTTCAACTGGTGCAATGTAAAGCATGACATTTCTTCTACTCTCTTCTTATTGAATATAAGCATAAGTTTGTTATAATGAAGGAAATGGATCCTTACCAAGCACTTAGACTTGTATTTAATTATATTCGGTGTTCAGACCAACTAAAAAATTATAGATTCGCTCTTTTTCTATCAATTTTTAAAATTTGACTGTATCTGTAAGACACTCTGCTTGAAAATTTTGATAATAATCTAATTTTTATCATAATCTATTCAGTTCAGAAAAATATTGAGAAATAGTCATCTCTTCTAATTTTGTGTCATGAACTTTATTTCAGAGTTCATAAATCTGGATATCATTACCCGTCTATGAATATGTAAGAGATGCTGCATTCCATATTTTTTCAGCAGTGTCAAGTGACATATATGTTTTGACAATATGGGGTTGCATGAAATTTATGAGTCATGACTACCAATAAGATCTCAGAGTCTCATCTATTATATTCTAAACTACCAACATCTGGTTTCTTCAACTCACCAGTAATGTAACCTTACAATCCTCTAGATTTGATAAACAATAAATAGCATCTCGATCAAGTAAAATAATTAGTTTTATCAAGTTTTACAGTACTGATTTGTAATGAAGAATTATCAAAGTTAGTAACACTTATCTTTTTTGTTTCTCTCATCTTAAAATACTAAAAATAAGAAGAAAAAATACTCAATAGTGAAAAACGGACCTCTTAATTTGCACTAAGGAGCCAAAAAAGGACCAAAAAACTGGAAAAATGACAAAAAAAGCGGAACCTGATCTGGCTCGGCTCAGCTTGGCACCGGTTCGGACGCAGACAGATCTGCTCAGGTGTGGACAGACCAGGTCGAAGTAGTCTGGCGCGCGGAATGACCACACCAAACATCCTATGCGCAGAAAAGAGGATTGGCGCAAGGGAGGTGCTCTATCCAGTCAATGCAACGCGACTCAGCGCGTGACCGGAGAGTGTGGTGTGTAGGAGGATCAGTCGACCCGTCTCTAGATGCGGATCAGCCGGATCGGAGCGGCGGAGGGCGCAGAACGGCAGATCTTCCAAAGGCACGCAGCAACATAAAAAAAAGCTGGATAATTGCGATCAAGCCAGATTTTGTGTGGAAAGGAACCAAATTTGTCTCAATCGGGCTTTTCCGATGGTATTCCACTATTTTTCGGGCCGAATAGGATGAAGCCGACAACATGTGTGGCTCACGCGCCTCTGCTGCTGGTTGCGTGTGTGGCGGACGCCCGCGGAAACTGTGGCTGTTCTGGCCGAGGTTGAACAATAACTCCATCTGGATGATATTGGGTTTGGTTTCTTTGGTAGTTGAGTACTAATTTTGGCATATTTTGCTTATTTTACGTTCAAAACCCTAAAATAATCTTTTTTTGACTCTGATATCATGAAGTTTTTGAATAAAATAAACTTTTAAATTTTATTACTTATCTTTTATGTTTATATTTAAAAGATATATATAGAGTAGTTATTTTTATTCTAGTTTAACTTTAATTATATAATATAATTATATTATCAGAACTTCAACTAATGTAATATTTTACTTAGTATGAAATCCTTATCAACAAGTGCTTTCAGTTTTTACTGTTTGGCTGCAAGGTGCTTTGGCACCGCAGAAGCTGCAGCAAATCTCCAGCCAAACAAGCC